TTGCGATCCCGTTGCCGGTCCCCGGTCCGGTACGGGGGCATCACTGAGGGTTGCGATCCGTTGCCAGACACGGAAAAAGACACACACACACAAAAAAAGAAACTTCTACTCCCAAATAGGAAAACATTTCCAAGCTACAATAATTAGTTCGGTGAGGAATAGGGCAAGGATTTTTTTTTTTTTTTTTTTTTGGTGGCTGGCTGGTAAGTGGATCTGAGCTCTTGACCTTGGTGTTATCAGCCCACCTGGGGTGAGAATTAATGGACTTCAGTGTACAAGGCAGATATCTATATGAGGGTCTATTGCTGGACTAATACTTTAGAACATGGTTTTTTAAATGTTCAAAAGTAGCATTTTATTTATTTGTTTATTTGTTTATTTATTTATTTTTGAGGCTGGCCAGTACAGGAATATGAAACCCTTGATATTGGTGTCGTAACACTGTGCTCTAACCAACTGAGCTAACCAGCAACCCTCAAAAGTGGCATTTTAAACTAGTGAGAAAGGAATAAATTAGGCAATAACTACTAGGTTAATTAGTTAGAAAAATATACAAATGCATTTAGATCTTTACACCTATAACTCCAATTGTATTTTGGTGTTAAAATTTAGATACCAGTAAATGAAATTTAGGTAACTAAGTTGATTTGGAGATGGGGAGGCATTTCTAAGTATTAAAAAAATCATTTAAAAAGAATGAAAGATTGACTAGACATTTAAAATAAATTTCTACAGAAAAAAAAAATGACATATCCCATATCACAAATATAGTTATCACAGAATAGATTTAAATGACCAGCAATCATCAAGAAAAATATTTACAAACATACGGCAGCTAAAAGGTTGACAGTCTTCAAAAATAGGATGTTCTTACGATCAATAAGATAAATACCCCAACAGAAAAATGTGCAAGACTTGAACATAATAATAAAAAATTTTAAATCAATAAATAGATTCTAAAATATTCAACTCAATTAGCATCACAGAAATAAATGCTAGTTTAAGATTAAATTCCATGTTTCACCAATCAGATGAAAAACAATACCCAATATATTGGGAAAGACACAGTAAAATGTATACTGCTGGCTGGTGCATAAATTGGTTCATTCTGCTGAGTAGGCAATTTGGTAATATGCATTCAAATGCCTTAATGTTCAAACCCTTTCATCCAGTAACTCTACTTCTTAGGTATTTATTTTAAAAATAAATAAATAATCAACATTTCACAGGAAGATTTATGTACAAAAATGTTCACCATAGCAGTGTTTAATTCAAACTGGAGACAGTGTCTATAATACGAATCTGGCTAAAGTAACATAACTGCAGCCATTACTAAATTATAAATCCTCAAAGCATTTTCAATGACATGAGAAAAGTTCACAAAACAATAAATGAAAAAAAAAAAGGTATGTCTATAGCATGGTCACAATTTTAAAAGATATATATATATATGTATAAATAAGTCAGCAGTGGTTTCTAGAGAAATTAGAGCAGTTTTTAATTTGGTATGTCTATAGCATGGTCACAATTTTAAAAGATATATATATGTATAAATAAGTCAGCAGTGGTTTCTAGAGAAATTAGAGCAGTTTTTAATTTTATTTTTTTAAATTTTCTTCCTTTTACTTTTCTAAATATCCAAATTTTCTGTAATGAGCATGTATTATTTTAATAATCAGAAAAACACAATTTTTAAAAAATATCTAAAGTAAAGGTAACAAATTAACGCAGGATGACCATGTGGGTAACTTTTTGCCTCTCTTGTAACTTCCCTAATTGAGCAAGTGATGAAACTCCGTTTGAACTCTTTGAAACAGACCTAGTATGTTGACTGCCAAGCACTGTCCAAAGTTGGTTCATTAAAAGTGGAATGGGGTGCGAGGAAGGTAGGGGAAGCAGCTAAAGGCCTTACAAATGGGGGAGGGGGACAGACACGTTGTCCCGTGGCAAGACCCCAGACCACTCACTCCTCAGCACCACCATATGTGGCCAAGAACGAGAACCACATCGAAGTTCAACCGACTGTGTAAACATCATCTAATCTCTTCAGGCTAAATTTAAGCAAGAAAGCAGAGGCCAGTAAGGAAAGAAATGGCTCAAACAGACACAAGTTGGTAGCATGTGACCTTCCATGAAAGAGAAAGGAAAACGGGCAGAAGCCATTCCACAAGCAAGCACAGACACACAGAGGTATCCCTCCGCTTGGCCACATTACCCACCATCAGCAGCCGCCCGGCTCTGCAGAGGGAGCACAGGTCTCAGCCTGAGCCAGACGCCCTACAGCTGACTGAGCTTGGCTTAGGAAGACCCACTGAAGCCAACAGAGCTGCCCACAGCGTAAGCCACAACCTTCTACTGAGCCATGCCAACAACGGCAGGGGCTTGTTTCTATCCAGAGGCAGACACAGAGTCACCTGCTAGTTCTGAGCTAGTGTCTTGGCCCAGAAACTGGCAAGTTCAGCAATCAGAGGAGAGCCTGATGATCATGCTGGACTTCCACCCCCAGCTGGTTCCCCAAATTGAGGAGTCAAAGAGGAGAGGAAGCAGCACGTGTAAGACAAACTGCCACCACGCTGCAGCTCCCCTGCGATTCTGTGCGACCCCACGGAAACTACTGTGTTCCTCTTCCCATTTAAAGTAGAGGGACAAGAATTCTAATGCTGGGATGTTTATGAGGTGACCCAAGAAGAAAGTGCAATAAACGCATACACAAAAAATCATGACAGAAACCACCAAAACACCACGCATCAGGACACTTACTCCGTGTTCCAATAAAGGGAGCTCACAACTTAACAACCACTATCATACCAGGCTCTGCCCACACCGTCATTCTCTTAAACTTCACAAAATTATACCTCTCATTTCACACAGGCTCAGAGAAAAAAAGGCAGTTCAAAGTCACAGAGCTAGGAAGTGCTAGAGTTGGAATTCAAACTCCAAAGCCCATTTCTATCAGGACACAGTGAGCAGTCTTGTCCCCACTGCCACAAAGGGCTTCTGTCTAACATATGCGGAACCCAGCTCCTGTGCTGCAACAATTAGGACATGGGCCAGCCTTCCTACCGCTGCCAGGTGCAGCTCCAGAAAGGACAGCAGGCCTGCTATAGCAAAGGTGCTCAATCCTTGCCTACAGAGGACATCAACTGTGGTCACAGTAAATAGTAACAAGGGCTACCAGTCACTGAGCATCTGCTTCACGGAGGAGCTATTCCAAAGGAAAGTCCCATTACTCATGTTTGGCCTGCATCATAACCTGCATTGTAATGATGTAGTTGATGTTTCCATTTTTCAGCTGAAGACACTGAGGTTCAGGGAGGTCTCACAGGAAATGGAATATGAATCTTCATCTATCTGCCACCAAAGCCTGTACTACTTCCCAAGCCTCATCTCACCCACCGTGACAATATAATGGGTCTTTCACACACATCTCACCATTCCTCTGGGCAGTTGGCCCAGCCCCCAGGGGTTCCAGCCCAGGCTAGGGCTCCAGCTACTACCTTGGTTGAGGTAGGTCAGCGTCTCTTCATGCAGCTTTACAGCTGGGGACGTGGCAGCACACAACACATACTGCAGGGGTGGCAGGCGGGCTTCGTTCTCAGGGGACAGCTGGGGCTCCTCCTGCTTGAAGATGGGCAGAGCAAGCACATCGCTGCAACACACAGGAAGCAGTGGTCAGGGGCACAGCCCAGGGAGGCCCTTTGCAAAGAGCACAGTGGGAGCGACGGGTGCAGACCATGGGTACCCAGGGCGGTACAACACAGCGCACATTGGCGTGCTGGCTTGGCTTCTGCCACCTTGGTGACAAACACCCTGGATGCTTTAAAACAGTGCCAACCACTGCCTCATGATTCTAGTTTCACTCAATGGCCCTCAAGACAATCATTCAATCAAGTTATCGAGGTAAAAATGGAAAGGTATCTGATAATCTACAGAATTCCTCTCCCTGACAGAGAAAGACCTTTAGAAGTCATTTGGTTTCTGTCCAAGAGAAATCACTCTCAAAGTCTTGCTTTTAAAATAAGAATCTGAACAAAAAGTTTTTATTATTTAAATCAATGATTCCATTTTCTGGCACTTCTCAGGCCAATACAACCATATCCTCTGTAAACTACACAAATGCAGAAACTTTGCTTCATTCACCCAGGTTGAGACATCCCTTCACCCCCCCCCCCTTTTTTTCCCCCTATATAAAGATGACCGGTAAGGGGATCTTAACCCTTGGCTTGGTGTTGTCAGCACCACACTCAGCCAGTGAGCGAACCGGCCATCCCTATATAGGAATCGAACCCATGGCCTTGGTGTTAGCACCACACTCTCCTGAGTGAGCCGCAGGCCGGCCCGCTCCATCCCTTCTAAAAAGAGGACAACTGGCCAACAAACCTTGTTTTAAGGATCATACAAATCTCCCTGAAATGCAAAACAAGAAATACCTTGGTTTCAATTCAGTTTTTTTATCCAAATGGAAAATCTTGAGATGCTCAACAATTCTTGTCCTCCACCTCTAAACAAAACTCCCTACCACATCAAAAAAAAAAAAAAAAAAAAAAACAGCCTAACATCAGCCTGTGACTGAGGAACTTGTTTCTAGATGTATTTTTTAAATGTCCTCACAAGTGACAAAGAAATCCTTGAGAACATAAATGACCTGTGAGCAGAAGAGACTTGCTTAAGACCTCTAAATTTATGAGCAGCCCAGAAACAGGTGCCCAAAAAGTGCCAGTGCCCTTATCTTGATAACCCTCCTCCCTTCACAGGTCCCGGGTGAGGAATCCAATTAGCTGATCCTACTTCTCTGTATAAACAGTCACTGGTACAATCTGTTCCTCATACAACATCATAAACTAGTGTCTCTAAAACACAAACCCAGCACACACCCCAACAATGTCTAACCAATTCTCAGAAGGAAAAGCCTGGCTTGGGGCACACCTGGAAAGCCTGCCCTGTGTGGGCCCCTCCTGCCACTGTCCACTGCTCAAAGACAGAGCGCAGGGCCGTCTCTGCTTCCCACGCCATGTCTTCTTTTTTCCAGAGCAGGGCATGCTCCCAGCCCGTGCAGTTATCTAGGAACACGGGAGAAGTGGGCAAGCTTGCTCACCTGGCGATTGCATAATTTCATGTTTGCCCAGACCATGTTAATAATCCATGGGCTGCTGCCTTTAAATAAAAAAATACAATTGAAGTTTACTGCAATCAATGGCTTTGAGCGGCTGCACAGATGTGCACTGTACAGTTTCAGCTGGTGCTGTTCATATAGACTGCAATATAAAAAGCGCCCCCTAGAGTTGTGCACAGCAGGGACCACACGGCTGTATGTGGCATCCCTGAATCGAAGTGCACAGCTGTCTATTTAATGTTCTCCCTGCTAAAATAGATGCTCTTCCAGTTGAGATGTGTTAAAATTCTAATTTGAACATTGGGGCCACTTTTATTTGGTT